CAAAGTACATGAAGAAAAAATTGACAGAATTGAAGGGAGAAACAATTCAGCAATAATAGTTGAGGACTTCAATTCCCCATTTTCGTTAATAGCTAGACAATTGGGCAGAAAATCAATAAGAAAATATAAGATGTGAGTAATACTATAAACCAACTAGATCTAACAGATATCTGTAGCGTTCTCCAACCAACAACAGCAGAGTATACAGTCGTTATAAGTGCACATGGAACATTCTCCAGGAAAGACCACATGCTAGGCAATAAAACAACTCTCAATAAATTTTAAAAGATTTAAATCATATGAAGTATGTTCTCAGCTGCAATAAAATGAAGTTAGAATAGTAAGAGAAGGAAATTTGGGAAGTTCACAAATACATGGAAATGAAACAACGTACTCTTAAATAATCAATTGGTCATAGAAGAAATCCAAGAGAAATCAGAACATATTTTGAGATGAATGGAAACAAGAATTCCACATCTCAAAACTTATGGAATGCAGCTAATGCCGTGCTTAAAGGGAAATTTATAGGTGTAAATTCTTACATTAGAATGGAAGAAAGATCTCAATCAATAATTTAACTCTCCACCTAAAGAAACTAGAAAAAGAAGAGCAAACTGAAACCAAAGCAAGTAAAGTAAGGATATAATAAATGTTAGAGTGAAAATAAATAAAATAGCAAGCAGAAAAACAATAGAGAAAATAAACGAAACCAATGTTATTTGAAAAGATCAACAAAATTGATAGCTTAGCTAGCCTGATCAAGAAAAGAACTCAAAAATGTGGTAAATAACTTAGGTTAGGTAAATAATTAACAACGACAAAAAACCTAAACCCTTAGATAATCTAGTAAAGATTATGAAAAACCAACAGCTAACATTAAAGTTAGTGGTGAAAGTCTTAAATCTTTTCTCCTAAAATGAGGAACAAGACAAGGATACCTGCTTGCTTTTTCTGTTCAACATTGTACTGGAGATTCTAGCCAGGATAATTAGACAAAAAAAACAAAACAAAACCAACCACAAAAAAGAAAATGCATCTAGATTGAAATGGAAAAAGTCAAACTCTATTTTTTGCAGATAAATAATGTTGTATATAGAAAATCTAAGGAACCTACAACAACTACAGCAAACCTGCTGGAGCAACAATTGAGTTCACAAAAGATACAAGATCAATGTGCAAAAAATCAGTTATATTTAGAAACACTAGCAATGAGTCGGCTCAAAATGAAATTAAGAAAGTAATTTTATTTACAATAGCATTAAAAACAAGACTAAAACAAAAGGAATGTAAGACTACACAACATTATTGAAAGTGATTAAGACCTAAATATATGGATACGCATTCTGTATTTATTGAATGGAAGACATTACTCTTAAGATGACAGTACTCCACAGATTGATCTACATATTCAAGTCAGTTCCTATCAAAGTCCTAGCTTCTCTTTTTGCAGAAGTTGACTTGCTGATCTAAGATTCATTTGAAAATGCAAGGGACTCTGAATAACCAACACAATCCTTTTTTTTTTTTTTTGAGTCTTGCTCTGCCGCCCAGGCTGAAGTGCAGTGGCCCAATCTCAGCTCACTGCAAGCTCTGCCTCCCGGGTTTACGCCATTCTCCTGCCTCAGCCTTCCGAGTAGCTGGGACTACAGGCGCCCACCACCTCGCCCGGCTAGTTTTTTGTATTTTTTTTTTTAGTAGAGATGGGGTTTCACCGGGTTAGCCAGGACAGTCTCGATCTCCTGACCTCGTGATCCGCCCGTCTCGGCCTCCCAGTGCTGGGATTACAGGCTTGAGCCACCGCACCCGGCCTCCAACACAATCTTGAAGAAGAGCAATGACGTTGCAGGGTCCACACTTTATTATAATTTCAAACCTTACTATAAAGCTATAGTGGTTAAAATTGTGTAGTAGTAGAATCAGGATAGATATGTAGATCAATGGAATAGAATTGAGAGTCCAGAAGTAAATCCATACATTTAAGGTCAATTGATTCTCCACAAGGTACCAAGACCATTCAGTGGAAAAGAACAGTCTATTCAGCAAGTGGTGCTGGAACAACTGGATATCCACATACAGATGAATGAAGTTAGATCTCTTCCTCACATCGTACAGAGAAATTAACCTCAAATGGAAGAAATATCTAAATGTGAGATCCCAAACTATGCTCTTAGACAAAAACATAGGTGTACATTTTTATTATATTGAATTAGTAATGATTTCTTTTTTTTTTTTCACCTCTCCTTTTATGTGGAACAGGAAAGCTAGAGGGGTTTGGAGTTGTCTGACTGCTTTTCCCCTATGTCAGACAAGGCCCTGATGAAGCAGTTTTTCTTTAGAGCAGGTCTTTCACACAGAGAACGGAATGCTTTGGGCATATTTCAGAATGGTTGTTAGGCCCACTCACTCTCTCTATCCCCCAATTAGGGTGTATTTTGAAATGGTTGCTTTTCTCTTTTCCTTGTATAAAGGGCCTGAAGAAATTTTCTTCAGCCTTCATCATGAGAACCTGGCGGGATTTCTGGAAGTAAAATTCATAAAAGTATAAGGGACCCCAAAGGCAGGACGCCAACAAGTTTTTAACTCTCAAGCTAGTCCACACTCAGCCACCAGTAATTGATTGATTACCATTTAAGTGTTCCTACCAATTACTGGCTCTGTGGCTTCTGCTCTCAGGTAAACTGTGATTTTCTATATTCACCCATCTCTCCAGTTTCTGAGGAAGTGGTTTGCCCTGTGACCTCTGTTCTCAGGCAGATCTAAGAAAAGTTGTCAATTTTCAGTTTGATTATCTTTTTTTCTGTTTTGAAGATGGGAGTGATGACTTCCAAGTTCTCTACATGTTGGAATGGGAACTGGAAGACCTAATTAACCTCTTTTTATTTTTTTTAATTTTTTTAATTTTTTTTTATTTTTTGAGACGGAGTCTTGCTCTGTCGCCCAGGCTGGAGTGCAGTGGCGGGATCTCAGCTCACTGCAAGCTCCACCTCCTGGGTTTACGCCATTCTCCTGCCTCAGCCTCCCAAGTAGCTGGGACCACAGGCGCCCGCCACCTTGCCCGGCTAGTTTTTTGTATTTTTTAGTAGAGACGGGGTTTCACCGTGTTAGCCAGGGTGGTCTCGATCTTCTGACCTCGTG